CAACTAGCCCTCTTCAAGCCCCTACTGTCCTCCCCCATGCTCCCATACTGCTGTGACTATTCTCAGGAGAGGCTTAGTCAGTGGTGACTGTGCCTTAGTGGAGCACCCTCATGATAATACCGTTTAGCTGCTTTCCTCTGTCATGCTACTGTACTGACGTGGGCCAGAGGCTTAGACTACGATTCACAGAGCTCTGTGAATGGCCCCTGATTGCCTATTCTCTCGCACCAGCTCAGTTCGCTCTGCCTCGTAGCACAGTGCCGCTAAGAGCCCATAAATCCCACTGACACCGTGACAACTATTGGGCATGAAAAACAGAGCAGATGTGGGTTTTGTAAATATGTGAAGAGCAAAGGCTTTTGTGGTGTGGAGGCATGCGTGAAGGCTGGAGAAGAGGCTGAAGCACTTCACTTGTTCCTCTGATGCTCTCCCTTTTCTCGGGCTCAACTTTCTATGTCCAGGCAGGTGGCTGATTTCCTCCCTCTGCTTCATCGGGCTATATGACATAATCCTACAGCTAAATTTAATACCTTTTAAGAGCTTTTTAAAGACCCTTTCTGTACATTTCAAGACCTCACCGCCACTTTGGGTTCAAACTGGTTACATAAATGACACACTTTATCTTACTTTACTTTGTATTGATTGTAAGGACATGCAAATAAACTGTCTTAGATTGTGGTAAGTACTTGGACAACTGCATCAATGCAACATTCAGATACATAGCGTGGGAACAAAGCACAAGACAATGAGTGACTAACCCAATGTAAGCTTTATTAAAAAGAGTACTACACAAGAGCAAGAAACACAATATTGTTCCCTATAACACACACACACAAGCTCTTTCTTTTTCTTGGCTTCCAAGGCTATATTGATTTTTTACGTAACTGTCTTTTCTATATACATTATGGAAAATTTGAGGTTGAGAATTTCAGTACATGTGTTTGTGTAACCATTATTGATCAATAAACTTTGAACTATGATTAAAGCAAATATATGTAGGACAGAGACCAGGGGAATGAATGTATAAACGATATGTATGCACAAAAATCATGCATATAGGGTATGCTGTAAAAAAATCCATAAAATAAGTAGATAGTATAGTATGTCATAAAAATGTCATCAAAAATGTCATAGTATAATGTGGTAAAAAAAAAATCCAAAAAATGTCATAGTATAGCATTTCATAAAAAAGTGTTCAAAATTCATACCATAGTATGTCATTGCAAAATGTTTAAAAAAAAATCATAGTATGTCATGACATGTTAATTTTTTACATTAAAGTATAATCTGAAAAAAAGGTTAAAAAAAAGTCATAATATATTATGTCATGAAAATGTCATCAAAAAACTCATATGAAGTATGTCATGAGTGTAGGTTTTTTAATGATTTTTGAAGAAATGCTTAACTATGATGATTTATCATACTTTTTGATGACATAATGTAATATGACGTTTTTTTCATGATTTCTGATGACATACTATACTATGACATTTTTTCATGATTCGTGACGACATACTATACTATGATTTTTTTCATGGTTTATGACAACATACTATACTATGACGTTTTTCATAATTTTTACGACATTATATACTGTGATATTTTTTCATGGTTTTTGACGGCATACTATACTATGATGTTTTTCATGATTTTTGAAGACATACTAGATATTTTTTCATGGTTCAAGATGACATACTATACTATGATATTTTTTCATGATTTTTGATGACATGCTACACTATGACATTTTTTCACAGTTTATGACAACATATTATACTATGACATTTTTCACAATTTTTGACAATATACTATACTATGACGTTTTTTTCATGATTTTTGATGACATACTATCCTATGACGTTTTTTTTCATGATTTTCAATGACATACTATACTATGATGTTTTTACATTATTTTTGATGACATACTATACTATGACGTTTTTTCATTGTTTATGACAACATAATATACTGATTTTTTTTCATGATTTTTGACGGCATACTATACTATGACATTTTTCACAATTTTTGACGACATACTAAACTAAGATATTTTTTCATGGTTCATGACGACATACTAGGATGTTTTTCATGATTTTTGACGACATACTATGCTATGACGTTTTTTCATGATTCTTGACGAGATACTATGACGATTTTTCATGGTTTATGACAACATACTATACTATGACTTTCTTCATTATTTTTGACGACATATTATACTATAATATTTTTTCATGATTTTTGATGACATACTATACTATGATAATTTTTCATGGTTTATGATGACATACTATACTATGATAATTTTTCATGGTTTATGATGACATACTATACTATGATAATTTTTCATGGTTTATGATGACATACTATACTATGATATAATGTTTTTTCCTGATTTTTGACGACATAATATACTATGATGTTTTTCGTGATTTTTGATGACATACTATAATATGACATTTTTCATGATTGTTGACGACATACTAAACTATGACGTTTTTTTCATGTTTTTGGCGATTATACTATGACGTTTTTTCATGATTTTTGACGACAAACGATAGTATGATATTTATCATGGTTTATGACGACATACTATACTGTGACGTTTTCATGATTTTTTACGACATACTATACTATGATATTTTTTCATGGTTCATGACAAGCTACTATACCATGACATTTTTCATGATTTTTGACTACATACTATACCATGACTTGTTTTCATTTTTGAGGACATGATATACTGACTTTTTTCATGACATAAAACATATCAAAAAAGTAATATTATAGTTTGTCATAAAAATGTCATTAAAGAAGTCATAGTATAGTATGTCATAAAAACATCATCCAAAAAAGTTATAGTATAGTATGTCATGAAAACATCACCTAAAAAAGTCATAGTATAGTATGTCATGAAAACGTCATCAAAAAAGTCATAGTATAGTATGTCATAGAAATGTCATTAAAAAAGTCATAGTTTAGTATGTCATAAAAACATCACCTCAAAAAGTCATAGTATAGTATGTCATGAAAACGTCATCCAAAAAAGTCATAGTATAGTATGTCATGAAAACGTCATCAAAAAAGGTCATAGTATAGTATGTCAAAATAAAAGTATTAAAAAAAGTCATAGTATATAGTATGTCATGAAAATGTCATCAAAAAAAGTCATAGTATAGTATGTCATGAAAACGCCATTTAAAAAAGTCATAGTATAGTATGTCATCAAAATGTCATCAAAATGTCATAGTATAGTATGTCAAAATAAAAGTATTAAAAAAGTCATAGTATAGTGTGTCAAAATAAATGGTATTTAAAAAAGTCATAGTATAGTATGTCATGAAAATGTCATCAAAAAAAAGTTATAGTATGTCAAAATAAAAGTATTAAAAAAAGTCACGGTATAGTATGTCAAAATAAAAGTATTAAAAAAAAGTCATACTGTAGTATGTCATCAAAATGTCATAGTATAGTATGTCAAAATAAAAGTATTAAAAAAGTCATAGTATAGTATGTCATGAAAATGTCATCCAAAAAAAAGTTATAGTATTTCAAAATAAAAGTATTAAAAAAAGTCATGGTATAGTATGTCAAAATAAAAGTATTAAAAAAAAGTCATACTATAGTATGTCATCAAAATGTCATAGTATAGTATGTCATAAAAATTGTCATTTAAAAATGTAATTGAAAATGTCATTGTGTTGTACATCATAAAGATGTTATCAAAAAAGTCTGATACATTTTTCTTTTTCTCTCTCCCTCTGTCAGGTGGTGAACGCTCTGGAGTCTAATCCCACCGCACGTCGCACTCAGCTGCACCACAAGTTCGAGCAGGTCATTGCCCTTGTGGAGGACAACATCTACGAGTGCTGCAGCGAAGCCTGAACCTGCCAGTGTCTTTTCTACTAGCCATCTCTTTCTCCTGCTGACAGCTGCCTTTCTTCTGCCTACAATATTACTGGGGAATGTGGACCATGAAGGAGTTAGCCTTCATTAGTGTCACAATTATTCCCACAGACTATAAGAAACATGGAAAGTGGCAGAGGACTCAAACCTGCCTCTCAAGCGTCAAACATTTGCGGGGTGTTTCTCATATAATCTGGGAATGCCGAGCAATTTTCCCAAATCTTTCTCCATGACAGACAGAATTCCAGTCTGGCTCAGCTATGCTTTAGAGGAAAGGTGTAGTAGTGGCTTGGAGATAAGACATTTTCTGGATGTCTTTACAGTTACTGGGACCTACAGTAAGCCCTAGTGGCGATCTTAACGCACTGAACCCTTTTCTTTAGGGAACGAGCCAATGATGCACTGTACTGTATTATAATGTCCATAGCAATATTTATAGATGTGTTATAATGCTTTCAAGTGGCCTGTTCATCAGGATGAGTAAGACGGACCGCGATGAACTCCTCCCATCTCTTAAAGCCTGCAACGTTCTCAGGTGTGATGGGTAAAGATGGGCGAACCGCTCCCATCGGTGCTTTGAACAATACGTCCCAATGTGCTTTGCAGGTTGATGATGGGTTGAGGAAGAGTGGAGAGAGGAATATTAATGACTGAAATTTATGAGATCAGATGTAATGTAGTTCACTGGGAAGAGCTGCATCAGTGTAGAAGTGTTGATCAGTGTGCTTGTTAAACGAATGAATTTCATGTTGGATTCTGACCAATTTAAAAGAGGGAAATTTACATTTATGAGAAAAAAATGTGAGCTCAATATAAGGAGAGACTGTATTTGTGATGCCAAATGACTTGTCAGAGTTTGTGAAATAAATTACAATATTTAGGATTTTAATGTGTCTAATGATGACAGTGTGTTGTTGTACTCAATCTCAAAGTGCTTCATTTCTACATGCATTACAGCATTGCAAATTTTAACAACATTTGAAAACCATTAAGATCTGGCCTGCCACCCAAAAGCACACAAACTAGCATCTGGAACTTCTCAGAGGGCCTTGTAAAAGTTCCCATGAAAAGGCGAGTTGGGGAAAAGCTGTGCAGACATTTAGCTTTGTTTTTATTGCAGGACACAGAACAACTTCCACAAGATCCTAGCCTTTACACATTAACAAAATAATATCCCTGTATCTCTTTAATACACATTCTGACGTACTTTCGAACACATAAACATCCAACGCACACACGCACATGCATCCTATCTCTTGCAGGAGGCACCCTCTCCCTGCAGAGGCTCTTTTTCAGGTCCATCTGTTTTACACTCATGTCTCAGTCAATGCCAAGAGCAAACTAACAACCCTGGCTGTGTCACCATGAAGACAAGGGGAGAGACAGAGACCAAATGACAGCCCCATCTGATGCCTTAAAAACTTGTCTGAGATATCTAAACAAATTCATGACTAATTTTCATCTAAGTATTTGTACAATCAATAGTTTCAAGCGCATTTTGGGGAAAAATAGCTGCAACAATTACTGGAACAAGACTTGATGTGGGTGAAATCATGTGGTGTGGTTTGTTTTCACCGATTATATTTTTTGGGGCAGTGTGGAGCTTGGAATGTGTTCAGTTGGATCATCACGCCCCCCTGATGCCGGGTTAAACTCTGTGAAGCCAGCTGAACACTTTCCATGATTAAATGGATTGAAAATACACATGCTGGCTCTTGAGTATGTCAGTCCCACCAAAGGTGCTGCTGTGCCGCTGCAGTGAAGACACATGGAGAGGTAAGTCAAGAGGATTGGCCAATAGAACATAGTGCTGCTTGGCGGTGAATGGTCCCAAGGCGTGCAGGGACAGATGGGACATTGAAGGTGGGAGGAGGGGGTTTGGGTCAAGCGGGGGCCACCTGGCTGGATGAGACAGATGAAGTCTGAGTTTTAGAGGTGGCGGCGGCCGCCGCATCATCATCCCCAAACGGATTTCTTCCACAGCACACCGCAGTGATCATGCAGTTTCTGAACTGGAGGCCAAAAAGAAGAAGAATATCAGAATCACAATTATTCCTTCACTCAGTGGAGGAAGTAAAATGTAGTATTCAGTTTTTTTACCAATACGTTTTATGCTCGGTTAAAAGTCCTGCATTCAAAATCCTACTTAATCAAAACTGAAAGTACTTCAAAAAATGGCCCATAACTATTAGACTGTTGAAGGGGAACTACACCCATTTTCAAAATTCATACATGTTATTCCTTTAATCTAAGACAACCAAAAAAATAGGAAAGAAAGAAAGACTGTGTGGTTCCACAAAATCTTGCTCCTATTCATTGGCTATGGAGCAGACTTTATAGTTGATGACATCACAAGTTTGAGACTTACCTCTCTGGCAATATCGTAATTAATTTAGGTGGTGTTTCCCTTTAATGTTTTTATTTTATAATTTATTTAACCAGGAAGTCCCACTGAGATTAAAAATCTCTTTTACAGACCGAGGTAGCAGCCAATTAAAACACATTAAATTGCAACAAATACAACATATAACACTAAAATCTACAATAAAACAACTATTCAAACATAGTGGCCTCTCAAGGGAAACAAGCACATGTCTCTGTCACCACATTCTTTTTTTGCATTTAAATTCATCAGTGGATATTAAGTGTTTCTAATTTTAGATCTGTTTGAAGATTGTTCCATGTCCCAGGTGCAGAGGAGGAGAATGCAGTTTTCCCCAGATCTGTTAAAACCCAGGGCTCAGTAATGTAACAATACATGCGCAGCATTAGGGGACGTACACATGCCACATTGTTTGCACCCTCAAATTTATTGTTTTTAATGTAGATGCGTGGCAGACCCATGTTCTCAATAAACAGAAGGTTATTGGGAAAATGTCTATCTGGAGCCAGATTTTATCTTTTAAATTTATAGGCTCTATTGTATGACCACACTGTCAGATAAATAAAGTACAGTAAAAGTACAATATTTGCCTTATGAGTGTAGCAGAGTTTAACTATAGCATGACATGCAAATACTCAAGTGAATTACAAGCACCTCGAATCTTAGGTTTTGTACTTTAGAGAATGTACGTTCCACCACTGCCTTCTCTATCACTCTGTCTTCTACAAAAAAAGCTTGATCAGGATATTTGCTTCATATACCTGTCTGTTTAGCAGAATGTAGATGACTGGGTTGTACAGAGCGGAACTCTTGGCGAAGAAGGCCGGAGCAGTCATGAACACTGGTCCGAACTCAGTTCCCTGATTGGCAAAGATGTACCAAGCCACGGTGGCGTAGGGCACCCAGCACACCAGGAAGGAGATCACCATGACGATGACCATACGTGTCACCTCTTTCTCCGCTCTCTGGGTGGTTTCAGACTCCTGCTGCTGGGCCGCAGCCTGAGAACACACAGATGAAGGTTACTAATTTACAGAAGGACCAATCTGTGATCCAACTGTAAACAAAACAAAACACAGGACTACTAAACTGAAGGTTTAAACATGTAAAATCCGCAGTAAGTTAGTCAGTAAGTCATATTATTTTTTTCTTTAAGTCAAACTCTCCGATTATAAATGCTTATATATGTAATGTATGTGACGAATTACAGATTAAGCCTTTCAGATTTGAGAGACCAATGCTTTGTCAGCTTTCAACCTGCAAAAACAGATTTCGTTTTTGGCCACTTGAGGGCAGCGTAAAAAAAGTTGATATTGCGACTTGTTAGCATACATTTCCTTATTTATACATCCAGCGGTTACAGAGCAACACTATCATTTATTTGGAGTTGTATTTCTGGCCATCTGATAAATGCAAGTCAAGTATTTTCTCTTTTTTAGCTCTATTTTGGTCTCCATAAGTCCCAGTTTGTGCCTCTCGTGTTAGAATACATTCAGGTCACAGAGTTACTTTCTACCTCTGCATGCAAATACATGAGAGCCACAAATTGGGGCTAGGCCTTCACCAACTCCTGAGGGAATTATCTGTCTCTTTAAATGCTAAATACTCTGCAATGTTCATCAGCTAGTCGCTAAATATGTCCGCTGTTTGGTGAGTAGGTAGTGTACAGTGGGTTTGGGTAGGGTCACTGAAAAGAGCTGTGTGCTGAGGCAGACAATGAGGCCATGAGAGCGGTGAGAGTGAACCAAAACAGTTAGAGGTAACGTTACTGTGTGTAACTTTTTACACTGTTAATCCTGAACATAACTTAAATGGGAACATCACAGAAATTAAGAACTCTATTATGTTATTTTTGTGGCCTAAGAAAGTTCAATTAATATTTGTGAACATGAGCTGCTCTCTCTCTCAAAGCCAGAAACCAGAGAAGTCTCTTGTGATGCCACAGAGTATAAAGTCTGAGGATCTCCATAGCTAATGAACAGGCTGATAGACTGATTTTGTGGACCCACAGAATGTTTGTTTAATTTTTTACACCCAAATGAACTTTATTCTATTGTAGTGTTGTCAGTTTTGAAACAAAAAATGTTTCCATATACTCAGAACAGTCCCCTGGGGGTTCTCTCTTTAATATCTTTCCCAATTCATTGCCAGTGGAGCAGCTCCAAATTTCACTATGATATCACAAATTTGAGTTTTAGCACTCTTTGTTTTTGGACTTTGGAGAGAAAAGCTCATGTTTACTTTAATTTTTGAACCATCCAAGACCTTTCCCATCTTCCTCAATTGTCTCTAACAGCCTGCTGGCTGATTTTTATGTTAAGGACTATGGGCGGTTTTGCAGGAAAATCCAAGGAATGTGATGAAATTCCCAAGTGCCTTGCCTCTTCTTCAGCTCCACTGCAGCACTAACATTGTGCAACACGAGCTAATGTGTGCTAGCTGACTAATGAAGCAAAACACTGTTTTAAGTGACAAACACGACTAAATAAATCCAGACTCCAGGGCTGATTGGCTGGTTAATCGGCTAGCTTGCCGTTTGCAAATTACTGTATTAGCTAACATTTTGAAGCAACTGTGAAATCCATGCTGTGAAGCTTAGTTACAGGTAGCTGGCTAACCTCAGCTTGCCTGCTTGATAACGTTATTGCTAACAAAATATTAACCAAGTGAATGTGTTAGTTGGCTAGCTTGTCAAATTATCTCACCAGCTAACGTGACCCATGATACTAACTTATAGATTATGACATACACTTGATTCAGCCAAGGACGATGCAAGGCAGGGGCAGGCAATGGACTAACCCATGACTTAAGCTAAGGTTAGCCAGCTAGCAGGTATAGGTGCTATATTAATACTGTGAAAGTATCAAAACGCTCAGTCCACAGAGAAATCAGTCAGGATTAATGAATTTGTGATGTCACAAGTATACTATATAGACAGTTTGAAACATAAAAAAATTAGATGGGTTCTTTTATATTTCTTGTTGGAGTGTTTTGCATTGTATGTGAATGACATCAGCTGACAGGAAGTAAACATGAACCCAAGCTGCTGCCTAGCAAAGTGAAACAGCCTATAAAGACAGAAAAACGGAGCGTTCTAGACAGAAGGTGATTTTAGGTATATTCAGGTGGACAGTGTGAGAAAAATAAGGTGTTTTTTGAACATTAAAGCATGAAAGCATGTTCTAGGAGAAACCCAAAATACAAGTATGAACCTGTATATGAGCATGATATGGGACCTTTAAGTTTAGTCAAACAACCAAACATGAGCTGTTATAAACTCTGTAAAACCAAGAGCAGCTACAGATTCAGGTGATAATTCTCTGACCCTTTTCACAGTCTTTTCACTTTGCCATTTATTTGTTGATATAAAAATATAAATTAAAGCCGCTTTAATAAAAAAAAAAAGTCAGAATTCTTTTTTAACTATTCATGACTGCGAATACATTATGAATGTGGAAATACTAATATTAATGAGGGCATCAGGACGACACTGTGAGCAGGCAGACTGCCCTTCAGCTGGAGGACCTGGGTATAAGCTGCCATGTTGGCAATGATCTGCCCTCCTGAAGTGTCCTTGAGCCACTAAATCCCTCACATCTCCAGAGGCTCCGCTCTGTGATGCTGCTAACCTCCCGGTGGAGGGGGAGAAAGGTAAAAAGAAAAAAAAAAAGAGGAATTTCTCTACAAGGATAAACAAGGTATCACATCCTTGTCATTAATATTTTGTCTGGCAGTGGTGTTCTTACCGCTCGCACAGTGCAGAGTAGGCAACTGTAGCAGTAGAAAATGATGAAGAGGGGGATACAGAAATGGAGGACGAACATATAGATGACTAATGAGGTGTTGTTGATCTCAGGCTTGGGAGTGTAGTAGTCAATCCCACAGGAACACTGCATTCCCTCTGGGATGTACCTGCATCCGCACACACACAATAATAATCAAAGAATTTCCATCAACACCATCACACACAGCATTTGATACTAGATGTGTCTTTGAGTAAGGGTGCTGCAAGTCAGCAGAGGTAATCTCTGACGTGCTTTAGTGTGCAAATGACAAGTACAATATTCATGTGGCTTTAAAGCCTGGCAAGCACAGTCTAGACACTGAAACATACAGTACCGGGACCATCCAAGCAGAGGGGGGGTAGCACAAGTCATGGCCATGATCCATGTGAATGCCAGCCCAGCGAAGGCATGTTTCTCCCCAAAGCGGAAGTTGGTCATTGGCTTACAGACCACAATGTAGCGCTCGATTGCCAAAACCACCAGAGACCAGAGTCCGATCTCTCCTGAGACGGAAAATAAAGCAGGTGTAGAAATAAATAGAGCACACACTTACTTGATACCATATTACATTTACACACAGAGTTTTAGATTTTAAGTATTCACACCCATTTTGAAACTGGCACAAAAAATAAAAGTCTTACCTCCCAAAGTAGCGAAGAATCCCTCAATGTTGCAGCCGGTGACCCCTAAGATGAAGTATCCGTGCAGGGCTGTGTAGAGAGTGACCGTGAAGCCCCCGATGACCATGAAGAGGTCGGCCACCGCCAGGTTGAGCAGCATATAGTTCAGAGGGGTCCTCAGCTTTTTGTTTTTGACGGTGACATGCAGGGTGAGGAAATTGATGGGGAAGGCAGTGATGATAAGGAACAGCATGTACGCAGCCAGAAGAGAGAACTTCCAGGGCTCAGCCAGGTAGTACTGAGGGTGCTCAAATGGGCTGCGAACCAGCCCGGTCTTGTTAGACATGGGGACATAAAAATTGGGTCCTTCTGTGCCGTTCATGGCTGCAGTTAGTGAAGTGTTTTTTTTTTCTTCCTCTGAGACCTTAACACCAGATAAAACAGTCTGTGCCTCTTCTCAGGATCAAATATTGTGAGGGAGTCTTGTAGTGCAGCCCTAGTGCAAATGGGGGGGGGAGAAAGGACGGCTGGAGGGACGGATCTTATGGAAGTGAGATGTGCTCTGCAGCCCCCTGAGGTGATGCAGCACCTTTTAACAGGCCGGCCGGATTAAGGACTTGCACGGAGCAAAGTGCTAGCAGAGATGGAATTAAGACAGACAATCTCAGTCTCCCTCTCTCTCTCTCACGTACACACACACACACACACATAAAGCATCACAGAAAACTCCAGAAATAGCTATGCGGTATGTTAAGCGTTTTCAAGGTGAGAGGTTACAGCCATGGCTCTCCGAACCCCATCATTACTGTCATGTGCATCAATGCATCATCAGAATGGGATGAGAGCAGAGAGTGGGAGGGAAGGCAAAGAGGGAACCAGGCTATTTGTGATTTAAACCATTCAGAGTGGACAAACTACAAATGAAATTTCTTGAGCAGTCCAACTTATTTGCATCTGTGAAAGCCTAATCCCTAACCACTGCATAATGCAGGGTTCAACTCATAGCCTTAAGTGTAATCAGAGTCAGTGGGGCATACCGCTCATAGCATGCACTCTCACTCCAGCTCTCTTTTGTACACACAAAACCTAAAGTTCAATCTGAGAGAGTAGGAAGTTATACTAAAGTCGTCTATGTAATATCATTAAGAAAACCCACTGTGGTAAAAAGTACCAAAATATTTTATTAAAAGGGTTTCCCCCCTTTGTAACAATATAAAAAAACATTCCCATGACTACATAACAGATGACTGTTATAGAACATACAGTACAGCTTCAGTATATCAGCCTGTGGACTGCACTTGTTGCCGTCTGGTCTACTAAACAAATAAAATAGTGTTTTTTAAATAAATTTGTTTTTATAGAGACATTGTTTTACACTGTACATCCATGTTCCCTTTAAAGTGGTGGCGTAATCAGTGACAGATCAAGGTAATCTGATCCTAATAATCCAAATGGGTTGATTGGCTGATGGTGCACTTTTCTTACATACTATAATGACCAACACACAAACACTACAGGTGTTACTTCAGTCGGTCATTCCTGGAGGGCAAACGGCTGCTCTTGAGAGGGGGGACTTGAGGAATGGCATGCGACACATTCACATCAACTTAACAATAAACAGGTCTATGTATGTTACAGTGACAACTGTATTACAATGCAAAATAATTACAAAATGTCAAAAAAAAAAAAAACCCACAAAAGATCAGCTTCAGAGTACAAAAAATGTTTTAAATAGCTGCTTTAGATTTAAGTAGATCAGTTTGGTTCATCGATGGGTCTGCGACAGTATGGACAGCAGTTGTGCTGAAGCACCAGGAGCTCATAATCCTCACTGTGAAACATCTACGAGGAAACACAGAGACAGGAACAGAAAAAAGAAAAGTTATATAGAAGACAAGCAACATGACAGGATAAGAGTGAAAGAAAGAAAGACAGATAGACTTCGCCTGTGCTTCACCGCAGGATATACAAGCTGTGTGTCTTATAAATGCTGTACCTTGAAGCAGGTGGGGCACATGGTGATGCTCACATCAGGCAGCAGGGAGCGGAAGTATTCCCATTTGAGCGGCCTGGGCCAGCGTTTGATCAGGACGTCCCTCCTGCTCATGGAGCGCAGCACCGAGCGACTCACCTTGACGGGGACAAAGGTGGAGCCCCCCTGCTGCTTGGACACACACACAAACATGTCCACGTTCTATTATGGAGACCGTCCTTTTACCCTCTTCCAGCTGGTTTGCCCAGTTGGTGGAATATTAATCGTCTCATCTCCTCTCTGTCCTTTCTTACCTCAAAGCTCATTTTGGCTGTAAATGGGTCTTCCTCTGCATCGTCCAAGCCATCATCCATCCTCAAAGCCTGCAGCTCTGAATGGTGGTGATTAAGGACAAACAGTTCCAAGCAGTGCACACATTTCACACATTTCAACATCACATTTTATTTCATGTGTGTTTTCTATAGTGATCTATTTTCAAGAAAGGAAAAACTCTTATAAAATGATCCCTCAGAGACTATTCTAAAAGTGAGTGTGTTCAAAATGCCGATCAGTCGTGCCTGTCAGTCACATCGTGGCTCTGGAAGAACAGAGCAGACCTCAGTGCCCTTGAGTGTCTGCCAGTTAATGCAGGTTAATCCCTGCACTAGGGCTGTGGCTACGGCTCTTGGAGGGTTAGTGTCATTAAGATGAGACAGGAGAGCCTCGCTAACCCTATTAGCTCAAGAGCTAAGATGACTTAGCTCTGACAGCTTACCCACCAGCACAGAATCGAGGCCAACGCAGACTAAACAGCTTCTTAGAACTGTCACAAGGCGGAGGGGAGTCACGTGCTTCATTTCCAAGAGATGTGCAGCGTGTAAGGGCAGAGGATGCAGCCTCTCGGGACCAGCCAAGTGAGGAGTTAATAATTCATACAAAGCATGGGAATTGTCTGTTACTCTGTGTGTATATTTATGTGCAGTTACATCGGGTAAATGATCAAAGGATACCACCGTTGTCCATGTCCTGCCAGCGTGCATCCCTCTGATCCATGTGAGGGACTTCTAAGTCAATCAGAGACACAGCCTCTTCATCACTGATGCCCTCCTCCAGGTAGAACTGCACCAGAGGCAAGATCTCTGTACACAAGGAGACGAGCTTCGTTACAAACACAAATGGAATCCTAGCTGACAAACACTGCACACAATGTGTTTGTGTGCCACTGACCATATGATGAGGCTGAGTAGATGAAAGGCTGCCTGCAATTGATGCACACGCTCCCCTGGTTGTTCAGCAGGGGATTGCTGGTGGAGCAGCGGAAGCACAACATGCCCTCAATCAGTTCCTGCAGGAAACACATGGAAGTTTAACCTGACACACTCAAGAGCACAGGATGGGGGTAACCACTCCAATAATTACTGTATCTGACGGACATTTCAGAACAAGTATACCAGTAGAGTTGGGCCGATTATTGGTTTTGCTGGTCAGGTCCAGTGATTGAACTTAAACTGGTTTGATTTTATGCAAATAGGCTGAAACAGCACTTGTAATTGGGCTAAAACACGTCCTGGCAAATTAAACAGCAGTCTAAATCATCAACGTGTGCCGACAGAATAATGGCGCTAAATCCAACTTGTATTGCGTTTGTAATAAGCTATATGACAAGCACACGTTATGTTTATTTACTTGAAAGCTTGTGGGTTTTTTGGGGGGTTGAAGAGGGGAGACATGGCAGAGTTAGTCTCTTAAGAAAACTTAAGCCCCGTTTCCACCAAGCAGTACGGTACAGTTCAGTTTGGTACGCTTTATTTCCATTTTCACTGTGAAAAGTTGTGGATGGTACCAATGGAATGTTCCATACCGTCCCCATTATTGGTCCCCCCTCTGTTGGGGTACCTAGCACACAGATCTGGTACTAAAAAGGTGGACACTGCAGTCTGTTGATTGGTCCTGATGTTTTGCTGCCTCTTACAGCAGCTGGAGTCAGAGAAAAAAAAAAAAAAATCACTGGGCCGACTTCTGGCGACTTTTAAGGTGGAATGTTAACTTGTGATGTTAGTCAGTGCATGAGTTGATGACCTGAATCAATCAACACACCTTAAATTTCACTGTGACGACTTTGAGTTTTTATATGACATACACTTTTAGTAATGAGTGGATCTTCAAGCATTTATATATATTAATTTCGACCAGGTTATGTGAACTGCATATATTCTGATCCTCACTCTGAGAAAAAAAAAAAGCGTTGTGGAGCGTCGTTCCTGTGGGCTCTGGCAACACTAAACCCCTGAGCTTGCCTGAGAAGGACTAAATGCACAAACCTGCTATTTTTAAATATCCCATTGAGAGACTCTCACTGCAGCCTGGTTTATTTTGTTCTGAAAATGTCGGCGTGCAGCCTCGTTCTGTGGATGATAAATAAGGTGCAGACTGATGAAGGAGGAAATACTGTACAGTGAGTGCTGGACGGAGCAGAGAGTGACAACAACCCTGTCCACATTTAAGGGTACTGTTTGAGGTGGAAAAGCTGAGTGGACCTAGGGTCTAGGTACCATGTCTGAAAGTTTACTTTGGTTCCAAAGGTATTATACTGAAAGTGTTTCGAAATAATAGCAAGTGAGGCAGTGCTGCCGCTGTGAGCTGAACTTCTACCTAAAGCCATGTTTATTCGCTAGCAGACAGGCTACTGACCTATCTCTTAAGTGGTTACATCTCCGCTCTGACCTCGATCACACAGCTGACATTTACATTGTTTGTTTACATGATGTAACAGAAGTGCATGTTTTAAGGATAACTTTGTCATTTTTCATCATTAACTTCATCTATCCAAATTTGGGGTATAGTGTGACACTAAACAACATGTTTTTTTTACAGTGTTCTCCGTGTCTCCTTCAAAACCCGCTGTTCTTCCATGAACGAGTAACGTCAGGGGTGCTTGGAAGAACTACAAGCTATTTCGGCTTTAATTTCTAGTCTCCACCTCTGGGTATCTGGGGGACGTGCTCTAGATACATCTAAAAACAAATCTTCCTTCTTATCACGCATTGCAAACTAGCTGCGTGTTCACCAAAATGGCATCATTTGCAAATTATTATCAATGAGGATATTTTTTACAGTGTATTTGCCAACCGGGAGCTTCAAGCAGGATATTTATTTGATCCACCTGAAGAAATACAGTGGAAAGCAGCCACTGAAATCACCAGAACTAGAATCAGAGATACATTATTGATCCCCGAGGGGGAATTGTGATCCGTTACAGGAGCAACTGCAACAGGCTACATGCACGGTCGGCACATGCAAGAGGGAAAACTCAGAACTCAGCTTCGCTGTCAACTGACTGCATTTAACGTCAACACTGATTGGATATCCACTTAAAATGTGAAGAATTTGGTGTGGACAGAGAGCTCCAGCCTGACACCTGGTAAAATTCGGTATACCAGTCTGCTCCACTGTTTGGCCTACTATCAAACCAGTTTGAATTTTTTTTCACTGGTCCAACCCTACCCAGCAGTTACATCCAACTGTTGAACACACCTCACTGTCATGGCACGGTTTGGAGCGAATGGTGAGGCTGTCCAGCTCGATGGAGTCCTGGAA